CTCGGTGTCCATGCAATTCCAACCTTTAGCCCCGAGCAGAGGCTGCCGGGCCCTGACACACCATTTCATGCTGTGTCATGCAGGAGCTGGCCCACAGCCAGCTCCCAGCTCCGCCTGGCCGGCGAGGATCCATCGCCCAGGTGGGACTCATCAGCCACGCAGGGAGCACTCGTGGATACAAACGTGAGCCTTCCAGGGCTGGTCCTAATGCTATCCCAGATCCTTCCCCTGCGAGGCCAGGCTTTAGGTTTCAACCTGCTCCCAGCTCCACTCCCCTGCAGCTCCCGTGCTGCCCCAGCGAGCACAGTCACAGCAGCTCCTCAGGTGTCCAAGGGCTCCCAAGGGGAACTGGACTGCTGGAACTGCTCCCAGGGGAGGAACAAGGTCTCCCATCCCACTGAAGCACAGAGACAGGCAGGAGGAGCACAGGCTCTCACTGTCCCCTCCCCCCAAACCACAACAAAACCAGCAGCACGTCACGAAAAGGTTATTTCACCCCCCCCCCGCCCCCGACTCAGGCAGCCCAAGTGTCAAACAAACTGCTGTGCGGTGACCTCAGACATCCTGCAGGATCACCAGGGCACCCCTGGGCTGCCCCAAGGCCTGTCCCAGCCCAGCCCAGCCCTGCACTCACCTCTCGGCGTCGCTCGGGCCCCCGTGCTGTTTGCCCTGCGGGTTGAAGTGCGGGCCGGCACTGGTGCAGCCTGGAACACAGCACAGGGATCCGTCAGGGCACACCTGCTCCTCCCAGGGACCCATCCTCTCCTGCTGCACGTCCCGCTAATCCTCGGGGTGCAAATCACCCACTACAGACTTAGAATTCCAGTTAAATACAAGTGCTCATTCCAGAGCTCCCCAAGGCTCAGCTGGGAGCTTTCTTATTTCTTAATACCGGGGCTGAATGCTTGGGACGGCAGGCCTGGACCGCCAGCCTCAACACGTTCGGAGCATTACACGGGGAGCACTTCCTTGGGAAATACCACACGTTTCCTAACACAGATTTGCAGCCACGAGACCCAAGTGCTGCTGCGACACTGCAGGAAAGCTCCCTGAGGCCGAGCACCCCTCACCGTTCGTGTTGTCCCCGAACTCGTGGACGTGGAAGCCGTGCTCTCCATCGGCCAATCCAGTGATTTTTCCAGTGACTTTCACCGGCCCGTTACCCTTGAAAGGAAAAAGGATTTATCATCGCCGCGAGGACTCTGGCGCTACGCGGCTCCGTGTCAAGCCAAGGTGACAGGAAGCCCTGCAGGCTCCTCCACGAGCCCAGCACCGCCTCGCACCCGGCGCCTGAATTTATTTATCCGCCCCTAACGCAGCCTTCCCGCTATTTATCCCCGGGCACAAGCGGTGCCCGTTATCTGGCCGTGCCTTCCAGAACAATCCCGCGCCTCCCCCGGGCAGAGCGGATGACCCCGCGGCCGCTCCCCCGCCTCCCAGAGGTGACGGCGCAGCTCCCCAGGGCCGCGGCCATTTGGAACCGCAGCCCCCACCGGGCCCCGGGAGGGGGCGGATGGAACCACAGGCAGTGCCTCAGCCCCCCCTCTCCCCCCGGTGGTCGCTCGGTGCGCGTCCCGTCCCTCACCTGCTGCTCGAAGTGGATGACGCCCTGCACGGGCCCGTCCCCGCGCATCACGCACACGGCCCGCACCGCCGCCATCTTAGTCCGCTCCGGCCCCGCCCGCCGCTCCCGCGGACTGCGGGCACACCCCCCCCGGCGCCCCGCTTATATACGCCGGGCCGGCCGAGGGCGGCCAATCGCGCCGCGCGCCTCGCGCGCCCCGGCCAATCGCGGCGGGGGAACGGCGGCCGCGAGCGCGCGCGGGGGGGGTGACGGCGGCGCCCCCTGGCGGCGAAAGGTGCGGGACAGGGACCGGGATCGGGAGGGACGGGGATCGGGATCGGGATCGGGGGGGACGGGGACCGGGATAGGGGGGGGGATGCGGAGCTCTTGTCCCAAACTGGAATGGCTGCGGCGGCTGTGAAGCTGCCCTCCGAACAGCTCCGTGTTTCAGAATAGCTGCCCATCGCCACAGGGCGATGTTTTCAAGCTTAAATCAGGAGCACTGGGAGGTCAGAGAGCATGCGGGGCTTTAGGCAATCGTGGAATGGTTTGGGTGGGAAGGGACCTTAAGTCCAGTCCCACCCCATGCCATGGGCAGGGACACCTTCCACTAGCCCAGGTTGCTCCAACCTGACCTTGGACACTTCTAGGGATCCAGGGGCAGCCACAGCTTCTCTGGGCACACTGTGCCAGGGCCTCCCCACTCTCACCGCCAAGAATTTCTACCCAATATCCCATCTATCCCTGACCTCTGTCAATTTGAAGCCATTCCCCCTTGTCCTGTCACTCCAGGCCCTTGGAAATAGTCTCTCTCCATCTTTCCTGAAGACTCCCTTCAGGTCCTGGAAGGCCACAATCAGGTCACCCCAAAGCTTCTCCTCTCCAGGCTGAACAATCCCAGTTCTCTCCCCTTTCCTCCCAGCAGAGCTGCTCCATCCCTCTGACCATCTTGGTGCCTCCTCTGGACTCTCCAGTAGCTCCATGTCCCCCCCGTGCTGTTCCCCAGGGCTGGAGGCAGCTCTGCAGGGGGGTCTCACCCAAGCAGGGCAGAACCCGCCCCTCCCTTCCTGCCCACAGTGCTTTTACAATTAATCAATTATCCATAATTAATTTCTGCATATGACCGAGGTATAAATGCCTTAAAGCCGAGGTGGCTTTAAGCCACACCTCTTTAAAGGGGCCTCGTTAAAGTCAAGGAAGGATGAGCAGGGGTTGTTTCACACCTCAGGCTCACACAAAACACCTGAGTCACGGCCCAGGTGACATTAATGAAGCAGAGATTTGTTTTGTTGAGAACACTCGGTGAAGAGAAAACTCCCCACCAATAACATGGGGGTTGTTTGTCTGAGAGACAGATGTGGCTTTGTAGTTTGACCTTGGAGAGATGCTGGGGAAGAGTGGGAGAGCCAGGCAGCTCCTTATCTGGGAGGCACCTTGGCACTGCGGGCTGAACTCCTTGGAGTTTCGTTCCCGGTGTGCCCGGAGAGAAGATACTCTGTAAATGATTTGTGAGCAAACAGGTCTGTGCTCGTGGCACAACGTGCAGCACTCGCTCCATCAGCAGGAGAGATTCCAGCTGCCCTCCAGGTGCCTCTGGTTTGATTTAAATATTTTGTAAGCTATCTCTTAAATAGCAGCGTCTCGTTTTCACTTCCAGTCGCCCTCGGCTCCCTCACTTTTGTTAGGGTCCTGTCACGAGTGGCACGGTGACACTTTCTTTTACTTCCAGTCCCATCCCCGTGTTTTTATCAGGTGGGTTTGCTCCCTCCTTCCTGGAAGGAAGGTTCAGGATGTGCCCTTGTTCATGCCTGGACACGAATTTAGGGCACACGGGGCGGATAAGAGCCAGATGTGTCAGGTTTCTTCACAAGTGCAACGATCAAAGTAATGCTTTTAATGACCGTGTTTAATCATCGATGTCAGGGGGCCTGTGAAGGTCACACCCTGAGAGGGATCCCTGGGATCCCTTTCTTTCAGGAGTACAACAGGAACACAAATGTGTTGGTTACGGGTGTGATCCTGCACATCACGAAGCCAGGGAAAGGTTTTTTTGTTGTGTTTTCTCCCACAAACTTCCTTTTAACTCCTTGATTTTCTTAGATCTTGCCAGCAGGGGAGAAAACTCGGCCCCCCCCCATCCCCAAAGCAGCTCAACGGCGCGGGGGTTTGACAGCACAGAAATCATCAGCGGACCCTGCCAGGTGAAATGGTGGCGTGATTATTTTGTCACTTGGAGCATCAGAGTCAATTCAGGGGGGAAAGGAGAGGAAGGGCATCCTGATTGTTTCCTAATTTGCCAGCTTAAAGGGCAGACTAAATAACTGCCGTGTGATGCAGGTTACCAGCAGCCTAAGCTTCTGTACGGACAGAAGCTAATAAACTTCCCAGCAAAATGTGCAAAAGTAATAAAAAACCCCAAAACAAACAAACAAAACAAAACAAACAAACAAACAAACAAAAACAAACCAAAACGTGGCCTGGATCAAGCATAAAGCCCCTGCAGCAACGACTTCTCAGCAAAATTTACACGGGTTAAAAAGTTAAGAGGGAATTTTGGGTGGTTCCGACTCCCTTGGCAAATAAGTGGTATCTGGTGCAAATGGGTGGTATTTCCTGCTCGTGGTGGATCCTTGGGAAAAATACGGAGTTAAACTGAGAGTGGAATGCACACCCCCCTCGGGATTGCCGGACTAACCCCTCACTGAGGTGACGGGCAGTGCCTTCCCAGTGGGGTGATCCCGTCGCCACCCGGAGCTGCTCTGTTGGAAAGGTGGAAGCCGCATTTCCACATCGGCCCCGGGGCAGAGTGATGGATTTGGGAGCGCCCCTAGGGGGAGGGCGGGGGCACACACGTGTTTGTTCAGGCTGCACCACGTGTGCGTTACAATCCCGTGTTTTGAGTGGTTCGGGAGAGGCTTTGGGAGGGGTAGTTTGGGTTGTGGTTTTTTTTTTTTTCCTTTCGGATCTCACTTTCTAGAAGCTGGGATTTCCCACCGTTCTAATGCTGTGTCACCGGGCTCAGCTGCCGACACAGCCTTGCCTGGCACAGTCTGGGATAGGTCACTCCCCGAGTTTATGTTTGTGTGGCATTCTGAAGATGAAAAGTGCTGTGCAAATGATTGCTGTTTCATTAGGAAATCTGCGCTGGTGGCTCCCTGGTGGAAATCCTGCTGCTGGAGTGAAGGGCAGAGCCGCTGATAACCAGGGGCCGGCTCCCCGTAATTAAAGGAGCGTCAGCGGGAGAGCATTGGCAGGATGAGAAACAACATTTCACTTTTAACAGCTCAACGGAGCTAATCTTTGTGCTGCGAGTCCCTCACCCCGCGCTGCTTTTGAAACGTGAGCCTCAGAGGAGGGAGAGGTTGTGTAAATGATTAAGACCTTTGTCCTCCAGCGCGGGGCGTGAGCTGCACCTCGGCACAACCTGCCGGGGCTGCTCAAGGTCTGCCCGCTGCTTTTGTTTCATTTTGTTTAGTCGCTCGGTTCGTTCGTTTGTTTTTTTTTTTTTCTTCCTTGTTCACCTTCGCCAAGGGTTGGGATTGAGGTGTTTCAAAGCCCGGGCGTGTTTCCCCACGGAAACAAAGGGCCTGACAGGCTGAAACTTGGAGGGCAAAGCAGCTGCCGAAGTGACCAGCGGGACAGCCGAGATGGAGGGGAATGTGGATCCCGGGGATTCTGGTGTTTGCAGGCACAACAATCCGCTGAGGGATTTTTGGGAGCTGCTGCTGCTGCGGCACAGAGGGATGAGTGCAGTCAAACCCAGCTGAAGTTTTTAGTGGCTTTTGAGCTCTTAATAGAGGGTGAAAACACCCCTGAAACTGGCCAAGGACAGAACATTGTCCAGAAAGCTAATCTGAAAGATTATTTATTTATTTATTTATTTATTTTATTTTTTTTACGTGGGAGACTCTCAAAAATGTTTATGCTCTCAGGGATGTTATTTTAGCCACTGAAAGGCACCTGAAGGAATGCAACCAAAACAGCGTGTCTGTGTATAAATATATATTTCCTAATATATACATTCAAAATATCAATTAGGATAAAAATCAGTGAAGTCCGAAGAAAGCCTGTGGCTTTCCATGCTTTATCTATGTTGTGTAAAACAACTGAATAAGGATTTCATTCACAGTGGTGAAAAAACAAAGCCTCGCTTTGGATTTTTTTGCATTTTGTTTTTATTTGCAGAAGTCATTTATAGCGGTGACTAAACTAAAAACTTTGCAAATCCCACAGAGGCAACTTCCATGGGGTTTCATTTGGATATCCTTTGGATTTTTTTTCTTTGCTTAACTCGTCTGCCTTGGGTAATCCCAGAGATGCAAAGTGCAGAACTACGGAGAGAAATTAGGAAAAACGATACAACAGGGTCAACTCTCCCGTTTCTGCAGCGGGAAATCAAGGAGGACTAACAGAATAGGAGCAGGCAGGCCTCCAGAGTAACAGAGACGAGGTTTTATTGGGAGTTTTCACGTGGTTTCTTCCCCTGGGAGCACTGGATGGTCGGGGAGTTCCCTCCCAAGCACCGGGCTGGGTCTGTACAGCTGTCAGCAGAACAGAGGCTTCGGGGGGCTGGTTTAACACAAGCCTTTAATAAGTGGAACTGCAGCTGCAAAATGCATCAGCCACGTGTTTTCGTGCCGTTTCCACAGGGCCTTGTCATTAATATTTATGTGACTGCTCTGCAGCTGTTGGGGACTTTTCCCCTGGGCCCGTGGACGTCTCCAGCCCTGCCAAGGGGACGAAGGGCGGCACGGGGGGAGCCTGCAGACCTTGCACCCAGGGCTCTGGGCTGGAGGGCTCTCTAGGAGAGAGGGCAGGAGAGCTGATTGCATCACTGAGAAAGGTGCAAACTCAGAATCTCAGAGTCCCTGAGGCTGGAAAAGCTCTCCCAGCCCGTGGATCCTCCCTGTGCCCGATGCCCACCTTGTCCCCATCCCAGAGCTCTGAGTGCCATGGCCAGGCCTTTCCTGGACACCTCCAGGGGTGGGGACTCCAAACCTCCCTGGGCAGCCCCTGCCAATGTTTAGCAACCCTTTCCATGAGGAAATTCCTGCTGATGTCCAACCTGACCCTCCCCTGGCACAGCTGGAGGCCGTTCCCTCTCCTCCTGTCCCTTGTTCCCT